CTTGTATTAACAATACTACATACAAACTAGTAGTAAAAACGAGAAGATTGTCTGAATAATGTGTAGATAATTTAGATAATTTAACTGCTGTTTAGGTAGGTTCGCGTTCTGTAATTTTATCATGTTTTCGTTGAGAATAATGATACATAATGCTATTTTTAAATATTTTTATTTAAAGACAGACCATTTGCTTATCTTTTTTATCAAAACTTCATCCATCAACATTTAGTCTGATAATATACAATGGATCAGGAGTAATTATGAAATTCCCATATATTCTTGACATATATCAGACAGTATTATTAAAATAAACATTTTAAATGTCTGGTTTTCTCTAGTTTCACTTTCTGTGCCATCTTACTGATAAATAAAGCAATAACAAAAGAAATTATTGATTAAAATTAGACATTAACAGCATCGGATGCCAGCTCAGTGATTTAAAGGTTAGGCTTTCGCGCGCGGGACCGAAGGTCCTGGGTTCGATTATTGTGTTAGGGGTCGGGAGTGCTCATTGCTGATGGCTCCAATTCTAGGAAGAGACGACCGACCAGTGCTTCCTTGTTTCTAATGGTGAGCGGAAACATTTCCAATACTTATATCACACATCAATGAAGTTGAAGTGGGTGCAATTTTGAGCCCAAATGGCTTGTTTCAGTCTTTGGACAATTCCATCAATCCATTCTTCTCTATTCATTATTCACATGTCTTTTAACCTTGTAAACCATTTGATAATATCTTGATTGCTTTTATTTGTGTTTGCGCCGCTTACTTCGCTTATCGCATGTCTGTCTTCTTTTAATCTGACTCTAAATGGCGGTCCTGAGACCGGTTGACTTTTGGCGACCCCATCCTGTAGAAAACGAACTGCCTGAAAAACGCTAACCAGAAAAAGAAGTAAATGCTTAATCATCCCTCGTTACATTGAGTTAGCTCGCTTGTCTACCCTACTTCTCTTCGCTTTGCTTGTGCGCTTCTTGTTCTCATGTCTGTCTTCACGGACAGTTGCCTGAAATAAGTTCATCCAACTGAATCTGTATCTGGCTTCCAATTACGGCGGTCGCATAAACGGGGTTTGTTTAAGCCTGATATACGGAAACTGAATGTAAGATTTATCTCGTAGCATATTTGGTAGTTCATAATAAATGGAGTCGGATCAGGGGCCAATAAAAAGTAATGAGCCCTACTTTGAGTTCATCTCAGTCACCGAAATGGTGAGCACAACGATGAAAATAACGCATCTACTTAAAAGCAGATAATAAATGATTAGTGAGAAAATAATATCTATTACAATAGTCTTTTGAGATTTCTTTCTTATTAGTGCTCGTAGTCTACAGATATGCAACAAAATAATCCTAGTTTACGGTTCAGTCAATGTTCATCATTATATTAGTTAAATTCATTATTTCCTTTTTTACTTTGTATTATCTGAAGTTAGCTTAATTGATATATTACTTTTTCATGGAGGCATCGGATGACTTTGCATTTCATAGTATTTAATTCGTCTAGTGGATAGAATTTTGACTAGTTCCTAGTACGATCAAAAGGCTTGTTAACTGTTATTTGTAATCCTTATTAGTGTTATTGCCTAGTGAACATAATAGATTCAAGTAAAAATTATTATTTTAAGGACTTCAAATATTTATATCCTCTTACTTACAAAGATAGTATTTTGAATGGGATACACCAGGGGGGACACATTTGTTCGATGTCACTAGGTTCTTCACACTTACACTCATTCTTTATGTACATTCATTGAATGTTAATATCTAAAGGAATTGAGTAGAAAAAACGATCAGAAAGTTTTCAAACCAAGATGCACATTCAATGAAGAACATTTTCGTTTAACACTCTGTTATAACCAATTATTATAATACAGGATTTCATTTTCCATCCTGAATCGCTTTCACACCTAACTTTTGAATGACAATCTTTACTTTGTGCTCTTTTTTGTGTCCAAGATTTATTCCTTTACTCGTAAAGTTTTACCTGATGTTTAGAAATCCTAGTGTAACTAAACAGAATACTCGCAGAACACTTACTTAATCAACAAAAAGTAAATATGCAACTTGAATTCGCATTAAATATGTTGATAAACTTAGTTTGTAGGCAAATTTTTGTTATAATTAATAAACCTAGTTCAAGGTTATATCAAGTTTAGTTTAGCGATAATCGATTTTTTTTGCAGAAATGTTGTCGAAAGTTAAGTATGTGGATTGAAGTGAAAAAATACTTTGGTTAATATTCACAAAGCGTCCAAAATGGCTAATGAACTAAATAAGTGACATATTGAAACAATGTACTGCAAACAGCCGAAAAATAAGATTTTATGGTAATAAGATTTATTAATTCCAGAGAGAAATTTTGAAATGGAAATAACTAATCATCTTTTAAGCGGGATTATGAACTTCTAGATTTTCAAATCCAAATATATTACTTACTAGAAACTATGTGGTAATAAATACTAAAATTAAACAATTCTGTATACATCCAAAATAAATTCCAAAAGTTGGTTTCATTTCGCATTCAAGACTGTTGAGAGTGATCAATATTCCTCGGTAACAGAAACTTTTATAAATGACTGGAACAGAACCATCAAGTAAAGGATGCAAGATCTGTTTTATGTTTAATGGTGATCACAATTCGATAGGGTGTTTAAGGTTACACGAAATTTTAAGGATAATGCAGTATTTAACTGATTAGACACGAGATTATTTTAATCATGACATAACGACAAAATATGCACGATATGCAACCAATACTTGTCACTGAAATGGAGAAATTATGAATAAATTTAGATAAAGCCAGCTGTATCATTGTCGATGTTACCTTTATGACTAATTTACATCATACTTAACTTTTGAAATGAGAAGTCCAATGGTTGAAAATCCTCAGATCAACTCCAACTCAAGCCGCCAATTTCAGGTACGTTGACTTTAGAAAATTTACTATCGTAATGGAACTTTATGCTCATTTGAAATGATGAAACATTTTTCTCAACAAATATAAACTTACAAAACAGCACTAAATGAGGACCAATTACTTCCAGGTATTTCAGTTTAAATACCGATGTTATTAGGTTTTAGTGAATGATTATGAGTTAGTGCTAAAGTTTACAAACTTCATCAATTAGTCTAAAATTAAGGCTTAAAATTCGTATTTTCCTTGACGGTCTTTTTAACTGTTATCAAGTATGCTATCGATTCATTCAGGTATATTTGTAATCAGTATAAAAATAATAACTACCATTTAAAGAAAAATGTATTTTTCCTTCTCAATCAGGTAATTTAAATGACATATTTGATTTAAGATCTATTGTAAATTTGTCCCAAGAAACAAAGTGAAATTAACGGGATATTTTGTTAGAATCTATTTTTCAAGGTTGTTGTAGTTTACTAAGGGTCGGAACTTCTTCATATTATACTGCATGAATGAATGCTAACTTTTTATATTGTAGAATAAATGGTAATAATCTACTATGTTCCTTTTTAATGTAACTTACTTCTTTTCATGATTTCTATATTATTTACTTTGTTAACGAATTCTTCATACAATAAATGAAGATTATCTTTGGCCAATAATTAGAAAAGTGGGATAAAAAATGTCGGTATATCACCATTTCTTTCCGTTTAATAAAGTATAAGTTTCTAACTTTACGAGGATGAATCATTGTTGGTTATGTTAAATAAGAAATATGAACATTATAATAAACCTTTCGAAATTTCCAAAATACAACTTTACTGTATAAACAGCTCGTTCCCAATGTTTCTTATTTACATGTATACTTGAACTTCAGATCAACAATAAACAATATGATATAAATCTTATTAAGACTGAAATAAATAATGTACAGTTGGAAATATAACTGAAACTGCCGTCACCATTAGAGAGATAATCAATAATTTGTAAATGAATTTCTAGTTAAAATTATCGATGCTATTAACAATTTCTTTATGAGGGCGATACAACTGTTCTGCATGATATAAACTTGACTTTTCTCCCAAAAATACGTTTGAAATACAAAGAGTCGATAAAATAGACCTAACAAATGAAATCACTATTATAATAAACGGTATACTGCTTGTTTTATTCCGATCACTAAACTGAGTAAGTTATACTTGATTAGAAATGCAGTAACCATACGATACCTATATCATGAATGAAAGACGTATCACATATCAAGTAAAGAAAAATATCGTTTTAATGCAATTGTATGAAATTCTATTCTGTCAGTTTTTCATTGAAAATACCAATATTTTGAAAAGTATATTCATGTTACTAGCAAGATTATAGCAGAATTAAATATACTTCTTGATATTTATTTAATTAAAAGTTACTCATTATTTTTAACTCGAATCTATTGTGGTATAAAAGTGTTATTTGTCATGCAAGTTCATTTGCAACTAGTGTTAGGCTATTACTTTTCTCAAAACAAAAAAAAACGACGATCTATCAATATAACTAAACAAAATTTCTGTTTACAAATTACAAATTAAATTATACATGCTGCATTGTCAAATAATATAAAGCTACTACTTAACCAGTTGAAAGCTTAGAAATTATTTAAATGAATACAATGTTAAGCGAAGATAGAAAACAAACAAAAGAACTTTACCGGTGAATGTGTTTTCTATTATTCATTAAATAGCTTTTACGCAAACGAAGTTGTAGATATTTTTGTAAAGAATTTTTTTAAAATTCAAATTGATGTGGGCAGATAAATAAAACTATGCTTAATTATTGTTCATTGAACATTTTGCTTATATTATTCATTTATTTTTCAGTATACAAATTATTTTAAAAAAGCAGAGAAAAAAGAAACAATAGAAAAGTTAGTAAATTAAAACAATAAAATATTTATTGAAGAACTTTGATTTTTAAATCATTGAATATTTTATTTAGATCTTTTTTTTTAGCGCTATGATACTTTTGATTTGAATCAGTACAAATATCAATGAAATAGTTTTTGTTAAAACAAAAATTGAACATTTTGATAAGATTTTAAAATTTGTAATTATTGAAATAAGAAAATTAATTCAGTGTAATAAATGCTCCAATATTTCTGTTAATCTACCATTTAATTTTTACTATTTCGAATTGAGAAATATCCATGATTCTGTAAATGAGTTATTAAATAATTTTAAGATTATGTTTGTGTTTTTTCTGAAATTGAAAATACTCTTAAAAAGTAGCCAACCAGTTATTGTTTTATGGTACCTTCAGAGAAGCGTAGCTTTGCTTCATTCAAGGTTAAGTCTTGATAATGTTGATGAGTTTTAATTATTAAATTTCAATGAAGCATTTGTAATATTTCATTTTCAAAATAAATACAACCCCTTGGAAATCAACAATAATGCTTCGCTATTGTTTGTGTATGTGAAACCGTTAGTTTCTGCCTCAGTAAGATTAATTTAATAGAACAATGTTAGGTAGATTTCAAATCTTTATATCAGTTATATGTATTTATATAAATAACCCATTATAATAATATAAAAATGTAAGAAGATGTCCAAAACAACAATCGGAAGTACACAGTTTTTTTCAAGAGAGATCATAACATTTCAACTCGTTGGTAATTCAATTAAGTATAGATAACATTTATGCTGTGAGAAAAAATAAATGACAACTTTTTAGAGAAAAACAAAGATTCGTTCCATCGTTCAGTATAAACTGTTCTTGTTGATAGTTGCATAAATGAAATTTAATTGGGCATTCTAAGGAAATATTATAACATTTTTGTCAAATAATAAATCATTGAATGGGAAATTAAACTGTCAGTGATGTATTGAAAAAAATTGTGCAAGGGTAGAAGCATCACATTGTTTGATAAAAAAAAATTCAAGATTTGTATATTTTTGATTATATACTTCTTCACTTGACAAACATTAAAAAAATTCTAATTGTCAATGAAACTTACTCATTGAAAGAAGAGTATAGTGAATGAAATTTATTAAATATCACTTTTGAACTAAAATTTGTTTAATTGATCGATAAATGCTAACTGGAGGATTGACATCCGAACTTAGATATTGTGTACCAGCGTCAATTTTAAAATTAAATACATTTGCTGTAGTTGGTGATTCTGTTTGAGTGCCTCGATCGTCTAAATTTGCATTTAAAAAGTCAACTTGTATAGCACGATGAAGTAATGCACCTTTTGGTGGGGGCAGTGTTTTAATCAACTCAGGACCAGTTTGTACATGTGTATTAACAAACTGGGCAGCTTTTGCTTTTGACTCGGCAGCTAATTGACTTGGTGTAACTATTCTGCCTAAGTTAACTTCACCTGATTGAAAATGACCTATTCTTGAACGCCAAAATGCAATACGTGGATCTTCTATTGTTTGTTCGTTACAAGCATCTTCATCATCATTATTGTTATTTGTCTTTTTATCAGTATTCTCATAGTTCATTTCTTCTAACTGTGTTAAACTATTATCAGTATTCTGAACAGAATTCTCTGCTATAGCTAGTTGTGATAAAAATAACTGCCAGTTAGGACTATTGAATACTGAACTTGAAGCTAATTGTAAACAACGATTTAATCGGTCTAACATTGGTCCCGCTTCAGTCAGTGCCTCAATAGGATCCATAAGATCTAGTCTACTAGTTACACGGTCGTCATTGATAAAATTATACCATGCTGTTGTAGCACTTGTCAATCTATTGCATTCAGTTGTTATTTGATCTAGTTCAACACCGAGCATTTTATCAACTTGTTCACATAGTTTCGCCCTCTGTAAATGAATACGATCAACAAATGCCATTGCAGTTTCTTCAACCATTGTACGTAGTTGACGCATTTCGTTTTCACATATTTGTAGTCCAGTTAAAAATATTTCAATTTGATTCATATGTGACTGAGTTTCAGCACTTTTAATATTTAGCTGATCTTGATAAGCGGCAACAGCCTGTCTCATAGATAGTATATCATGATCAGCATGACCAGTATACGCTAAACTTTCTTCTGATAACGGTGTACTATCATTAACAGTCTCGAAAGCACATATGATACATATATATGCACGACAAGTTAAACAAAAAAATCGTCTTAACTCACGAGGATGTCGATTACATCGAAGTTGTTCCATTTGATCTACTTGTATAAGTACATGATTAGTTGTAACAGGCATTCTAGAATGAGCTTCTTGACAAAAACTACACAGTCGTTTACCACATTCTAAACATGCTGCAATAGCAGGTCTTGGACCAGATGAATCATTTCGCCGACGATTTGAAGTAAGCGATTTACGTGTATGTTTTCCATTTCTATCTTTGTAAAGGTGAGTAGATGAACGTGTGGTTTTTGGGCTTAATGTTTCTGAATTATCCATGCTATCTCGTATGCTTAATTTGTCAAGTGACACTCCTTCATCGGCATCACTGTCATCTTCACTTAATGTATCATCATTATTATCACATCTGTTAAAACTTGTACATTGAGTTCTTTTAAATTGTGCTGATAAACTTGATCGTGATGATTGAATCCCATTTAAATGATTATCAGTTAACAAAGGTTCTTTAGTACAAACATCACAAACCGGAAAATTAGGCATACGATCAACCATAGAAGCAAGTTTATCAGTTAATTGATCAGCTGGTAAACTTGTCACTCCACCACTTGGTACAATAGTATCTTTTTGACAAATTGGACAAGTAATGACATCATCTTTTGTTGTAACAGTATGATTATAACGTGAAGAACCATATGCGGAATTGGAATAATCACCATAACGAAAACGTGATGACCATTTACGTCGATAACCAGATGAATAATCACTTGAATTAGATGATTTATATAAAAGTTTTAATGTTTCAATTTCTTTAGCTTCTTCATCAGCTTTACGTTTAGAAATTATATCTTCTAGACATGATTGACAAAATGAATGTAAGCATACTAAAGATTTAGGCTGTTTATATGGTAGATGACAATGTTTACAAGTGAGAAAATTTGCTTCAATACTTTTACGAATTTCCATTGTACTAATTCGAACCAAAAGTGAAATGACTATCAGGAAAGTTTAATTAAGAATTACGTGAAAAACTCTTGACAAATATTATTGACGAATGAATATTGATTAAGGAAATATATGTGTATAAAGAAATGTTCAAGTCCACAGTAAATTATTCCATATGAATTTTAAAATGTTTTCTAGCATAAAACTAAATTATTGTCCCAACTTTGTCACATATTATCATTGTTAGCTATGGCTTTTGCTAGTGCGATCAAGATAGTAGTGCTATGAAACTTGTTTAATTTGTGCTATACACATAACGCCTACAAATATTGGGCTTTTTTCTTAAAATCCCTGTATATGTATGTGTATCAAGCAATAGGGTGTTGTTGAATCCTACTTTATGTTTTTTTTAACCAATCATATTGAAATAACACACAAATTAGGATTGCAAATTTTTGTGTAATTCTTATTTATCATTAAACTTACTTCTTTATATTATATCTATGTAAACATAATTAACATATAGAATAGATCAACAAGAGAAGAAGAATTAATCTAGTGAATAGTGGTTCTCAGGGAAATGATTGTACTATTCTAATAACAACAGTAAACTAATTAAAATTTGGGGAAGACTAAAACTTTGTTATCCAAATTAGTGGTATGTCATACTGTATATAGTAGCCTACCATAGTTCGAAAGTCAAATGTTTTTGTTTATTCCATAGGCTGTCAATTACACTGATTGTCGAATGTTCAGATATCGCTTTTTCGACAGTCTGAAGGAACAAGAGACTGTAACCCCATTATTTAGTGATTAAAGCTGGATATTTTATTTATTGAACCCTATCTCAACTATGCTTCGAAATTTTGTAACTTTAACGTGAGAGAAATCCCCTCCTCCTAAAATATTGCACCGTTCAAGTTCAAAGAACCATAATTATCGATCTGAACTACCAAGTTTGAGCGTTTTGCTGTGCAAAACATGTTAACAGTTTAGATGTCTTAGGAATTATAACAAGTTTTTTATGAACATGAACTAGCATAATTCAAATTTCTAGCAAAAGTGGTCTTCAATTATTCATGACCAATGGACTGATAATCTGGATTTAAAACTTTAAATATGATATGTACTACCGTTATTAGTACACTGAGATTAAAATCTTTCCACTATTACTGATTTTTAGATATCTTAGTTTTGTACTTGTTTCAAACAAATTGATTTTGATCCAGAAATATCCATAGTTTAGATCATAGATTAACTTTAATATCATCATGGTTAGTTTCTGATTTATCGGACAAATCCTTTATTCACTGATTTTTTAAACTAAATTCAATTAATTTTCTATATTGCTTAGATTAATGGATACCTATAAAATAAATTTTAAAAATGTTATCGTCTAAATTAATTTTTCTAGCCTATACGATTGTCAATGAAAAGTATGATATAGATTATACGTTGAATTGACAGTTATGAGTATGTTAACATTTATTTGTTAATAAATAATGTGACAATAGACTCGATGAATTTACTAACAGATCAGCGGTTTTTCTGACTAAGCATTCTTCTGTTCATGTAGAAGACACATATGTGAATTTGTTATTGTTACCAGTACAGTTAAAGCACAAATAATAAACTACACCAGATATGAATGATTCAATTGAAACTATGAGATTTAAATGACAGTCATTTATCCCATATACTGAAAAGTTTTCAAGAACGAATAATGAAAGAGAAGAATAACTTGCCTATTAAATATATATATATATATATATATATATATATTTGCATAATATGCAAATTTTCACTTGTAACATCCAAAACAACACTCATTTGTTTTCATTGTGTTTTTTTAAAAATTTATATCTTGGATCATTTGTATTTGACAGCATTAATTCACTGCTATCCATTCCTAATTAAGGTTTAGCTTAAGAAAATTATGAATCGTGTAATTGTAATAAGCTTGCAAGTGTTGAAAGAGTAAAAAATTTCATATAAGAATGGAATTTCGCCGAGGTTTGATAATAGATAGAGTTTCAAGGGACAAAATGATGTCAGCTGTGAATAGAATATAACTCCGCCTGTAGTCCCTTCGGAGGAGGAGGAGGGGTTGGGCATGGTGTTGGCGACCACATCCCGTCAAAAAACCAGCTTGCCAACCAGAAGGAATAATTCACACCATTTTCACTCTGCCCTGGGAATTGAAAGAAGAATTATGGGTAGACGACCAGTGTAGCAGCAGCCTCTGCAGCAGTAGGTCTCAACATACATAAGAGAAAAAACAAAATTCTCCAATGCAAATCAGGAAGCGGCGGTGGAAGTGGATAGGACATACACTACGTAAAGCACCGAACTGCGTCACAAGACAAGCCCCCACTTGGAATCCTCAAGGCAAAGGAAAAGAGGAAGGCCAAGGAACACATTACGCCGAGAAATAGACAAAGATATGAGAAGAATGGACAAAAATTGGACAGAACTGTAAAGGGAAGCCCAGGACAGAGTTGGTTGGAGAAAACTGGTGGGTGGCCTCTGCTCCATTGGCGGTAACGGGCGTAAGTAAGTAAGTAAGTGAATAGAATATTCTAGGAAGCTACTCTTATGTCATTTATACTTATCGTTCTATAGTAAGTATATATGATGACAAAAGCATCAAATTAGTGAACTAGATATTTGCTTAAAATCAAATACCTTGAAAGCATTTAATTCTAAACAGGTGTAATTCAAAAGCATTCATTAGAAAATAATAACGGAATCGAGGTCACTAATTTGTAAAATTATACTCTAACACTAAACAGCACATTAACTTCATCTTGTAAATTTCATAACTATCCAACCTGATCATGATGTGTTAAAGATGACTAGAAAAAAAATTCCTTAGTCAGTTTGATAAACGTGCCATGATTTTATAAATCGATATTTTGCTGGTGACCTATTGACATTAATTCACTGAGTCAAACTCGTAAATTAGTATCTGTATTATTATATCATAGAAAAATTAGTAAATGTTAAACTAATTTCGGAATGTTTTCATGATGAATTGACATAATCAGTTCGATAACAAATTATATTAACTTTAATTTATTACGTGCTAAACAAGTGAAAAGTAAGAAACAGTAAATGGAATCTGTGTGTTACACTCTCATTTATTCTTATCATAATAAGGTTTCTTCAGTCGCAGTTGCAGTCATATCATGTTCTGCTTGACACCGCTTAAAGGGTTAACCGATAATTATTGGTTAGTGTGCGCATTGTAGGATGAAATAACTTTTTTCGGAATTTCGTGTTTCTCAGTGGCTTGTTATCTATCACTGTTGTTCACTTAACAATTACATATTAGTGATTCAACAACTCCAAAAAAAGAAAATTAACTAGTGTTACACTATCCATTGTTGTTTTGTCCAAGCGAAAACTTTTCGACAATCTTTTTTTTCAGGCAGAGTTTTGGAAGTTTGTTGTCAGACCACCATTAGAAACCTGGAAGCACTGGACGGCCGTTTCGTCCTGGTATGGGACTCATCAGCAGTGCGCATCCACAACTCCCGGGACCTTCGGTATTGTGCACGAATGCCTAACCATCGAACCACTGGGCCGGCATCCAACAGTGTTAATGTCTAACTCTGATTGATCTAGAGATTTTGCGCTACCTCACCCATTTGGTATGGTAGTTAGTGCCTACACCCGACAGGGTTGAACTCCATTGGTCACGTCTTCTCAACTAGAACTCCGAGAATTTCCTCACAAAGCTAGTCACTAGTGAGCTTTGTTACGATATTTTCAGGCAGAGTTTTGGAGGTTTGTGTTTTTACACATTTGAAATCATCAATCAATCAATGATAGCGTCTACAACCAACGTAAAATGGTTTCGTTATTATGAGTGAAATTAAATAACATTTGAACTAATCAGGTTGACTCATTGATAAAATTGAAATTAAATTCTATTCATTGAATAAATGAATGTTCTCTAATTGTTTTAATGACAACATCAATAAGAATATCCATTTTAAGCACTTGAGTGATGATCACTGACTTAAAAAATGTCATCAATTATTAATGATACCGAAAATTTCAATTATAACGATAAACATGAATAAAAATATTACAAAGGCTTGTTAGATTTACTAATGGTAAATTGAATTATTAAACCTAGTCAATAGTTACTAGACATCTTTTATGTTTTGTGTTTCGTGTTTAAGTTCCTTGTTTTTTCTGCATGTGAGAGATTAGGATATATTGGAAATCCACCACAAGGGTAGGAAACACCTGATCAGTCGTAAGATGATTACCACTGTCTACAAAATTGAATGGTACTGTCCATAAATACTCTGATTCTAGGTGATGTTTCCTTTTTCTCACAGAGTAAATCGATTTCAGCACTGCTTGGATTACTAAATTCACACGATTACAGATGATCATATTAATCTAACTGATTTCATCAACGCTTGTTTAGTGAAATATTTACTGCGAAATCAATTTACATTTAGTATCTTTTTAGTGAATGCAGTCAAGTGATCTCTTACAATATTGGCTAGTTATACCATTATAAAACTGTAATCTAAGAATTAAATAGATAGTATCAATGTTAATTGCTTTTATAAGCTGCTTTTAGAGAGTTTTCTTGATATAGAAGGCAGATAATTTATTTTGTCGTTTTCTTTTTCTCTGGTTATGAGTTACACATTAATTAAAAATGAATAAATCTAATTTTATGTTCAACTAATCTCAACAAGTTTTATGGAGCCTATAGGAATGGTGTACAAAGAAAGTGTTTATTCAGATGAGTAGTATTTTTTCTATAGGCTTACTGTTCATGTTAATGAACAATATTGTATTCTGAGATGTAAATTCAGTATAATGTTGTAAATGTCTTAATGTACTTACATTTACTTTTTTTAATAACTTTTAATCAAAGTTTGTATTCTTTCATTTGTTCACTAAAATTCTTGAACAGAGGACAATTTTTTTATGCAGTAGAAAGTTTTCTAACTAACGTAAGACTATGATCAAAACTATTTCAATATTATTTTTGTTTTGACAAGATTCATCGACATGATAAATTTGTTAGTATATACTGACATTGCTGAAATGGACCGTGAAATGAATATACGTCTTATTTGTCAGTTGGTACATGGACCATAAAAATCAAGAAACTGTCGCAAAATTCCCTCTCTCAATAGAATATGTTAAATTTAACAATGTTACAGTTAACTATAACACTTTATTCTATGAAGTTCATATTCGATTTATGAATTTTACAATGTGTGGATAGTTCAATACTTTATGTTGGCCATTGTATCACTTGTTTCGTGACGGGTTC